ATTCCCAAGCCCTTCTTCAAACCCCTGAGCCTCACCTGCCTTTCACATCAATCACTCGCTCTCAGTCACTCACTCGCTCTCAGGCAGGCCTGCCGATTTCTCACCCCAGAGCCTGAGCTCTGAGCCCCCATTGAACTAAATGGGATTTCTTTCCACCCAAGAATGGAAATTCTCAAGGAAATATTATTATTATTATTATTATTATTATTATTATTATTATTATTATTATTATTATTATTCGCCTTTGCAGTTCACCCCTCAATCCATCGGCAGTTCCTATTTGTTCTGCTTTATTGTGGGGTTTCTAAACGTGGGGAGAGGGAGGGCGGCGGCGGCGGCGGAGCGAGCCAAGCACCATCTGCGTTTTAATGAGTTTACTTCATGCGCCAACAGTAATTTTCCTACATTCAGCGAGGTCCTGTCTGATCTTGCGACCATAACTGGGAGGAGTGGTGAAAGGGGAGGGGGGTAGCCGGGCTTTATGGTAAGGGGGGAGGAGTTAATGCTAACTATCCCCCACTCCCCCCCCTAAACACGTAACAACAAAAATAATAAAGCATGTGAGCCAGCGGAGCCCTCTCCGATTAATAAACTATTCTGAAAGTGCTGCACCGAAGGGGGGGTTCTTTTTTTAGGGGGTGTTATTTTTTTTAAGTAACGCCCTTCTAAAAACCACCAGCGAAGTCCTAACCGTGCCACCCTAGATCTAAGCAGGTCCCATCGATTTGCAGCCGAAATCACTCTGGATTTATCCCCGTGGAAAGGATTGCTCGGGCGCGTATTATGACCCTCTCCGGCCCTCATCGGACGCTGCGCGGGGAGGAGAAACAGAATTGAGATTTAGGATCGCTTCTCTTCGCTCCAAGCTCAGCTGAAAGCTAGAGAGGAACCTCATCACTCCGGGTTACAGTGGTACCTCAGGTTACATACGCTTCAGGTTACAGACTCCGCTAACCCAGAAATAGTGCTTCAGGTTAAGAACTTTGCTTCAGGATGAGAACAGAAATCGTGCTCAGGCGGCGTAGCGGCAGCAGGAGGCCCCATTAGCTAAAGTGGTGCTTCAGGTTAAGAACAGTTTCAGGTTAAGAACGCACCTCCGGGACGAATTAAGTACTTAACCCGAAGTACCATTGTACTTATAATGATTTGGGAGAAAGAGAACAGTTTCTTTAGCCAGATCCACAATAAATCACCCTAGTCTCCAGCAGAGTGAAAGAAAAATGGTGGGTTGCATTCGTGGGAGCGTCGATTTCTATAAAAATAAAAAAGGAAGCCATTCCAGCCACTCTACTGCCTTTTCGTTTAAAGTGACATTGACCAGGCGAGCCAATACCGCGGCGATCCTTAAGGGAGGGCTTGGAGCAGAATTATTCCGCGTTAGGGAAATGGAAAGTCTGTAGCTGCGCGTCGGGCTGGAGTCCTGCAAATCATTGGACAGAAGTGCTCCGGAGCTGCTCCTACTCCTGCTGCTGCATAAGCCCATCTCAGCAATTAACTGGAGGACGGGGGGAGCGGGGAGCCCACAGGGAGGTGGGCTTTGAAAAAGAAAAAGGGGGGAGCCCAAGCGGGGGTCGCCTGCCACTTCAGAGGAACGGAAGTTCTCTTGAAGTCCTCCCCGTCGAGGGTGCGCCATTGGCTGGCCCGCCTTCATTATGGGAGACTAGACAATCTTTGATATGTTATGACATGAACACTCAATTAGATCACTGAGTTGAACTACTCCAATCAGGGGCTTGATGCTAAGCAACCCTCAGAAGGTCCAGCACGAGGTCACAGCCTGTGACACATCAAATCAAAATCAATGGGGACGGCGGGGGGGGGGGAGAGGAACGAAGGCTTTTCTCCTCCTCCTCCTCCTCCTCACCCCCGCCCCTTCCCCAAACCAGGGCTCCTCCTGGGGGAATCGCCCTCCCGCTTGCTCTGCCACCATCGCCCGCCTTCCCTCGGAGAAAAATCTCCCAGGAGGACAGAGTGAGATACATCTTTGGAGCCAAGTTTTCAGGGTCCTCTGTAGACTGCAATCTGTCCCCCTTCCTATCCCTTTTGTTTAGAAGGCAGCGATTTAAACTGGAGAGGTGTGTCCTAAGTTGGTTGTGGTTTTTGAAACAAACCACATTAAAAACACCAAGGAAGGGTGGGGGCCCGTTTCCTAGCTGAGAAGCGAGATAATCGCCTTTAAAATCAGATATTATTCTCCCCTCCTCTCCTTAGAAACCCATTCTTGGTGGGGTGGCGAGCGAGAATGGAGAATTAAGAAGCCGTTCAGGTGCCACCGACCAGCTATTTTTAACCGAGGCTGCCAGCTAAGGCCTCCTTTAGAAGGATCGCTCTCAACGAACGAGCAAACAGATAACCCATCCGAGAACAGTGTTTCATATATGTCTAGCATCCATCTCTCGTTTTCGTGGTGGGGGGCCGGCGGAGGTAAAGGCGCAAGGAGAAGCGCGGTTAACTCTTCCCATGAACCGCAGATGAGAGTAATCTCCTGGGCTCCCCTTCTCCAGTGAAAGCTACCTTACGAATCTCTGACTCATGTTAAGCTTGCGGTCTTGCCGTGAGAATGGAAGGGAATCGCTTGGGGTAACCCCTTCCTATTCACTTTCCGATTAGGAAAGAGGCAATAGATTTATACCTGAAGACAGGATGCGAGATATCTGTAAGGTAGGCTCAACGGTTGGTAAGGAGCAGGGATTGGGGAGGGGGGAAAGAAAGGAAAAAAGGGGGGAGGTAAACAGTTTAACCCGGGGGGGGGGAGTACGGTAAGTTAAAATTCCCCAGTAGGAAAATAAATAAAAGAACGAAGTAATTCGCCACGTTTTTTTAAAAAAAACCAAAAACAGAAGAAGCAATTTACTCCAGGACGGTAAAGATGGCCATGGAGCATATAGGAAAACGCTGAACAATGCCTGGAAAGTGTCCATGCCTCATTAGCCGGTCTCAGGGTTGGTATGTGGGTTGAGGGGGTGTTTCAAGCCGCCCCCCCATTAATTGCTGGCGTCCCCATCTCCTTGGGGCAGAGACCTTTAAAGGACAGGGGAGCTACCCGGATCTTTTGAAACGAAGAGCAAACTTTTAGTTCATTCCTTTTATTTTGCTCTTTTTTCAGTGGGAGGGAATCAACTACCATTTGCAGCCGGCGGTTTTGATGTTTGCTCCCTCCAGGGCTTTCCAAGGCTCAAGAACCAGCCCCCTGGCTCGGTTAGGAGGGCAGCCCCTGCGCGCAAAGGGCCCGGACGAGGCAGGCAGGGAGACCTGAACAGGGATGTGGGTCGAGACCTGACTTTGGGGAAAGAGCGTGCTAAATGGGAAGGGGGGGTGAGAGAAGGAGGGAGAAGTGTGTGGGAATGACCGAATTTACAGTTATATTTATGATCCCCCGAAGGATCCTCAGAGATTTCGGAAAGTGGGACGCGGACCGTCCATTAAAGGCTTAGAGAAGCGCATCACCTACAAGGGAGTGAGGTGGGTGGGTGGTGAAGTGATCTTGAGGGGATCCTGAGATCTAGCTCGACCTGAAGATGCTGCGATTGCACCCGGATTTGTTTTCTTGGGTTTTTTTAAAAGAGGAGATGGCGGATTTATGTGGAAAAGATACGAAGTATGTGTATGGGGCGGCGGATTCCCACGGAAGCTGCCATGCATTAGGGAGGGAGCCCTATTCAACCCGGTGGGATTTGCTCAGCAGTAACCGCGTGCCGGATGGGGTCGAAGGTCCTTTTTATTTTGCACCGCTTTTAATATTCATTGCGGCTAAATGATTCTGATTCTGTGGGAGCTGGCAGAAGCTGAGGCGCGCCTTCCTGGCGGTTAGAACCCAGCAAGCGCTGACCCTCGCAAAGTTTTATTGGAAACTGACCGAAAAAGAACAACCCCCCCGCTCCTTAATTTGTGTCATACAAAATCGGGCCGGGTGGGTGGGAGGATAACCCCCCCCCCGCTCCCCGTCGCGATTAACCTGGCTCTGGATTCCCACAAGGAAACCGGTGGCCGCGAACACACCGACACATCCCCACCCGCCTTCGGATTACTCCGAATTCCGCTGCGCTTTTAATCCGCCGAACAGAATAATTCCCGTAGAAACTGCTTCCTAACAGAGCACCGAAAAGAAAACGCGACCCAGAACTGCAGCTCATTCTGATGGGGAAAAAAGCCTGCGAAACATTTCTGGCAGATGAGAGAGGCGCTTCCGTCGAAGTCCGGGCGCTTTAAGGTTGGATCAAGTTTGCAGAGGCAAGACAGCAGAGAGACGGGTGAAAACTTGCCCCAGAAACCGAGCTCTCCTTTCCCCATTCATTTCTGAGACGCCGGCGCAACGGGGAAACCAAACTCGAGCATTTGTCCCCAACCCAACGGCGATTCCCCCGGTGGAGACCACCAGACGCCGCTTTCTCAAAGGGGCGCCCCGGCCTCTTGCGCGCCTTGGACTCTTCGGAGAGACCCACCCGAGTCGACGGGGCAGACGCCCCAGGAAGGGCGCAGAAAGGCGGAGGGATCCCCCATCCAAGCAAGGCACGTGCTACTCCAGTGCAAGTGTTCCGGAGTGTGTGTGTTCACATCGAGACGCGTGTGGGACCCCCTATTCAGACTGAACTCCAGAAGGATGCTGGTGGCAGAGCGCGCAGGAGCATAGCTGTCAACTTTTCCCTTTTCTTGCGAGGCATCCTATTCGGAATAAGGGAATTTCCCTTGGAAAAAGTTGACAGCTATGCACAGGAGCTGAGAGAGATTCGGGAGCCTGCAGGAATGGCGGGGAAGCCAGGGGAGCGCGGTCGGATCGGTGCCCGTTTTTGGAGGAGGGAACGGAGGGGCTTCAGGCTGGAAGGAGAGAGGATGGGGTGGGGAAAGAGATATTTCGGGGGGGGGAGGGAGGAGGAGACGGTGGATCGGGCCCGGGGAAGTGTCAGAAGGTGGATCGGGCCCGGGGAAGTGTCAGAAGGTTGGATCAGGCCCGGAGAACCCGCCCGAAGAAGGTGCCCGTCGGCTGCGCCCCGTCGGCTTACCTCGCCCCCTGTCCACGAAGCTGGTGATGGTGTTGGCGGCTTTGGAGGACTGGAAGAAGGTGGCGTTGATGCCCAGCTTCTCGGCGATGGAGTAGGTCCGGTAGAGGGAGAGCATGTACTCGTGGGGCTCCACTCGCGGCGGCGGCGGCGGGGCCCAGGCGGAGGGTCCCTTCCGGGCGGCGGCGTCTCGGGGCGCTTGGCCGTCCTGTGGGTTCCGTATGCCCTGCTCGGACTCCCGGAGAGGCTCGCTGGGCGCGTCGTCGGCGGGGATGGTGGCCTGCTGGCAACAGGGCAGATCCCCCCAGAAGAAGCAGGCGAGGAACACGGCGGAGAGCAGAGCCCGGGCCGCATTCATAGCGAGCGAGCGGCTGCCCCGGAGCCAAGCGCGCGCCCGCTCCGCCCAGGCGAGTCCCTCGCGCAGCGCGCACAGCCCAGCCCGGCGCAGCTCCCTCTGGCCGTCTGCGGCGCGGCGCTGGCTGCGAGAGAGGCCACAGCCCGGCCCGGACACGCCCCGCGACACGACACGCCCCTCCCCGCGCAGGACACGCCTCCTCCCCCGCCCGGGAGGGGTTTTTTTTGGGGGGGGTGACTGTGGGGGGAGCGGGACGCTGCCAGAACCGGAATCTCCTTTGCGCCACCAGCCAGGACTCAGCCCGGGGGAGAGGTATGCCTTCCGAGCATGTGCAGAGTGCAGTGGGCGTAGCCAGGATTCATGTTGCGCGCGGGGGGAGAGAACCTCAATTAGTTAGCTATTTTTATTGATTTATTTGATTGAAGGAGGGGAGCTGCCCTCCTGCCTCTCCTGAGCCCCTGGCACTGTGTGATCCTCCTGGGGGGCGGCTGCTAGGCGGGGTTCAATTCGGATTTTAGGAGCCAGAGTAGGCCGGAAAGGAGATTATCTGGCCACTTCACCGTCTCGATTAGGCGCGTTTGCTAAGCCATAAAAGGGTTAGGCTGGGAGATTTGTTGTAGTGAAATAAGGAGCTGGCACTCTGCACATGCTCCAAGACATTTCTTTGCCAGCTTTTGCTTTGTGTGTTCTCCTTTGTGAGTTTTGGCTGAAACGAATTCCTGGAAAGGAGCGGGGGTTAGAAGTAGAAAACTTCTGATTGCTTTTTCCACCAGCTACACAGCTGAGACAAGAGCTTGAGTTGAAATTCGGTCTGAAAGAATGGCATTTCGCTGTCCGTTTAAAAAAGAAGTTGATTTTTTTTTTTTTTTTTTACAATTGACAGGCTCGCCTATGAAGTATACCCCAAACCCTCCTTCCACACTGGAACCAAGGAGGAGCCAATGGAAGGAGAGCTGTTCTTAGTGGTTTCCAAAGTTACAGAATACATTTCTGCCCCCTCTGGACATTGGGCAAAGTCTGAGCTGGAGCACGTTTTGAATATGCTCTTTCCCACTGGTTCCCCTCTCCCCCAACAGACTAGTCTAAAATTGCTTAGGGCCTTGGCAGATCACTTAATGATTTTTCTGCTTGCTGTAGCGATTGGGATGTGCTATGCTAGATGCTCTGTTATTTTAAATTTTTATTTATTTATGATTGATTTATTTATGTAACAAAGTTATACACCACTGTTCATTTAAAAAAAATTAGAGCAGTTTCTGGTATGTAAAACCATAAAATTAGAAAGGTCGGCGGTTCGAATCCCCGTGGCGGGGTGCGCTCCCGTTGCTCGGTCCCAGCGCCTGCCAACCTAGCAGTTCGAAAGCACCCCCAGGTGCGAGTAGATAAATAGGGACCGCTTACCAGCGGGAAGGTAAACGGCGTTCCGTGTGCTGCGCTGGCTCACCAGATGCAGCTTGTCATGCTGGCCACGTGACCCGGAAGTGTCTCCGGACAGCGCTGGCCCCTGGCCTCTTAAGTGAGATGGGCGCACAACCCCAGAGTCTGTCAAGACTGGCCCGTACGGGCAGGGGTACCTTTACCTTTACCTAACAAAGCTGAAATCAAAAACCGAGTAGCTATTTTTGAAATGTATGTTCTTAATTCTTGTATAGATAGGCCTGATGGAATAGAAAAGTTTTTGGCAGGTGTTTAAAAGTTGGCACAGAAGCTCAGCGTCTGCTGAATCTCTGTTGGCACAGTTTGGCTAATGACTCTGAAGCCTTGACTTCTTGTTATTGTAAAATGAGTGTCACCGATTCAGGGAACAACCCAGGTTGCTCCTTGTAAGATATAATAAAATAATTGTATTTTATTGGTTTTTTTCCCTTTTGCTTGCATGTTTTTCTATTGCGGTTTTAATCCCATGGACTTCAGTTTGCATGTGTGCTCCACGGAAACACCAGAGACCATAGTTTGGGAAACCCGCCTCTAATCACCACCTGCTTGCTGGCTAGGCATTAATGTTTTCCTGCCTGCAAAACATTTGTTGTGTGTACAGATATAGCTGCACACTTCAAGCAAATCATCACATGCAATGCTCCATATATGTTTGCTTTTCAACACATATCCTGGAATTCCATAACTTCACATCTCAAGCACATGGGACAAGTGTTCAGGTCTGCCCTCATCACTGCAAAATCAGTATTTGATGTGGCTGTAATTTAGCTTATGTTAGTAAATTGTTGTTTTTCGTAAAAGTTCAAAAAGGATTTTCAGTGCAACCTGCTCTGAAATTGCTCTGTGATGAAGACTGAGCTAAAAATGTTTTCAGCAAATAAAATATATAGGTTGCATGCAAAAGATGTGCTTTCCGTGTATTTATTTATTTTTTAAAAACCTATGGCACTTTTAAAGGTGCCCTAGGTGGACTTTGGGTGGCCAGGATTGGCTTGTATCAGGGATCAACCATTCCTCCTATTTATAGGAACTGGGTTCTAAGTACCGTATGTTTAGCCCTCAATTCTCTTGGTAGCTTTGAGGGAAATCATATTTGCAGGAGAAAGAAAATATAGTACTTCTTCATACTGCACAAAGTTATATGGGACTTGCTACCACAAGAAGCTAGGGACGCGGGTGGCGCTGTGGGTTAAATCAGAAGGTCGGCGGTTCGAATCCCCACGACGGGGTGAGCTCCCGTTGCTCGGTCCCTGCTCCTGCCAACCTAGCAGTTCGAAAGCACGTCAAAGTGCAAGTAGATAAATAGGTACCTCTCTGGCAGGAAGGTAAACAGCGTTTCTGTGCGCTGCTCTGGTTTGCCAGAAGCAGCTTAGTCATGCTGGCCACATGACCCGGAAGCTGTACACCGGCTCCCTCGGCCAGTAAAACAAGATGAGCGTCGCAACCCCAGAGTCGGCCAGGACTGGACCTGATGGTCAGGGGTCCCTTTACCTTTACCACAAGAAGCTATACTTCCTCTAGGATAAACGGCAGCTTTCTAGTCACTGGGGAACAATGTTGGAATTGGGCTGTTGTTCAGAAGTAATGCCATTCCTCTGCTATGAGCAGGGAGATAGTTCTTATCTATTTTCATTGCTCCCTATTCCCTACCAGTGCAGTCGGCCAACCTTTGACCACTTGTCAGTGCCTAGTTTGGTGGGGCCTGCTTGCCTAACCTGCCCTCAGTGTTGGGTTTATAGATTTTTAGAAGAACAAATAATGAGTTTGGTAAGAGCATCCGTGTGTGTGTTTCTCTCTCTCTCTGTGTGTGTGCATTAACCACAGCCTTGACCAACTGTCCTTTCACTAGGCAGAGAGAAACCATCTCCCCTGAAGAAGACAGGGCTTCATGTTGTTGTTTTTTTTAAAAGTTTGTTTACATTTTTATCCACTCTCATCCCTGAAGGCTTTGGTGTAGACCAGGGGTCTGCAACCTTTAAGACAAAAAGAGCCACTTGGACCTGTTTCCGAAGGAAAAAAAACCTGGGAGCCGCAAAACCATTGCAACATTTAAAGCATCCGCGCTGCTGCCCTCCGATCTGACAGCGGGTGGGAACATGATGTCGGGACAGTGCGTGACTAACGCACGCACCGCCCCCATGCGACGTCACAGCCAGTACAGCGCCTGCCACAGTGGGGAGTGTCGGGGCGCACAATGCGCCTCCTCCCCTCGCTAGTATCCGCCCCGGAGCCGCAGCAAAGGTGTAAAAGAGCCACATGCGGCTCCGGAGCCGCGGGGTTGCAGACCCCTGGTGTAGACCAACAAAAGTTTAAAAAGCAGTCAGCTCTAAACGATGCTTTCTAGAAACAGCCCGTCTGTAATTTCAGTAAAATCACTTTTGGCATGTCCCAGGCTGTTTCTGCATAGTGAACTTCTGCAATGACACCTTGAAAGCTTGAGATTTGGTAGGGGATACTGAACTAAGTATTTGGAGAAAATCCAATTTATTTTCTTTCCGAAAAAAGGAGAAGGTTTCTAGTTCTCAAGGCTGAGAAAGTACAGAGAATGGTTCAAATGGATTGGGACTGAGTGGATGACTCCTCAGTTGCCATGCATAGATTCTTAACTCTATATAGAATGCTTAAGCAACATAATACTGTAGTAATAATAATAATAATAATAATAATAATAATAATAATAATAATAATAATAATAAATTTATATACCACCTATCTGGTCCATTATCATTCATTGTAGAGCACCCCACAGTGTTATAAAGTAATGATCTCATTAATTTTTTGTTGGGTTGAAACTCCCCTTGCACTGGAGGCTGATGTAGACAGAGAGAGAAACTGCTGTGTTTCCTAGACTGTCCTTTCTGACCTAACCTGTGCTGACCTTCCTTCATTTCCTACTTACTTCCTTTTTATTCTCACCTTGGGAGAAGAGACATCCTTTTGTGTCTCTCCTGCTGAAATGCAAGAGCAAGCATAGCTCAGGGCATCACCACCTGAGGTAGAGAGAACTGAGATCTTTCCTGTCAATCGAGCATGTATTTCATGCAGCAAACATAGCTTTCTTATTTTCCGAAAGTCAAGAGTCTCAGTGTGATTATACCCAGGATAAATTGTGCTCCTCCTATAGGACTCCAGCATTTACGTAAGTTCAACATTTGCAGAGTGTTTTAACTCCAAATGCCAACGTTTTCAACAAGTACCAGTTAGAGTGTTGGACTGGGACCTAGGAGACCAGAGTTCAGATTCTCACTGAGCCATGAAGGTCACTGAGTGACCTTGGGGCCAGTCACTGATCCTCAAGGCTCATCCACACTTTTCTTTTGTCCTGGGTTTTCTAAACATAGGTCTGTGTCCCAAGTGCTTTTTATTTTTTTGACCAACCGTGCTCCCCAGGGAAATCTGATTTGTACAGCGGAATTGGAGCGAATTTGGGTTGGTTGAAGAGGAATTTTCCTGCCTGGCATCTAACCTACCTAACAGATCTACCAGTGATCGCAAGTGAAAAAGTCACTTAGAACAAAAGAACAGAGCTCCTCTGAATTTGGGGCTGTGATACCCTCCCATTTACTCGACATCAAGTGCACTCCCAACACTGGTTTGGGAAGCGATGTTCCTATAAGGTTAGCCACAATCCACATCTATCCTGTTTTTTCTTATGAAATAC